TACAGCACAGAGCAGTGGTTCTCAAAGAGTGGCTCCTGGACCAGCAGTATCAGCATCACCTGGGAACTTGTTAGGAATGCAAATTCTCAGGCCCTACTCCAGACCTACTGAACTAGCAATTCTGTGGGGTTTGGCCACTGATTTGTGCTTTGACAAAAGCTCTCCAGGTGAATCTAATGTGTATCAGTGTTGGAGAACCACTGGTACAGTGATTAAAAGTATGATATCTGGAGCCAGATGGCTGCATTTCTTAGGGCAATTATTTTGTTTGTTTGTTTGTTTTTGTTGTTATTTGTTTGTTTCCCATCTGTAAAACGGAAACAGTACCAAACTCAGTGTGGTAATGAAGACTAAAAGAGCTAAGCTGTGTCAAATCCTTAGTAAATGCCTAGTAAGTGCTATATAAATGTTTAGATGATAATGATGATGATGTTAATATTATTAAAAATAATATTCTTTATAGGTGTTATTTTCATTGTTGTTCATAGGCTACCTTTCACAATTTATAACAAGGCTTTGTGTTTACCAGGAGATCTTTCCTAATGTCTTAGAGTTATTTTCCATGGCTCAAGGCAGTATTTCTCAGCATGTGCTCTGTGGACCATTTGCAACAAAATCACCTGTGGTGCTTATTAAAATGCAGATTCTCAAGTTCTACTCAGACCCACAGTGATATTCAGAATTCTCTAGTGATACTTCTACACCCAGAAATTTCAAAACTACTGCTCTTGGAGAAAAAAGACTATGATCTTCATTTTGCAAATGGGCACATGAGGCACAGGGTAGCATATGCTTAGGGAAATCCAGAATCTCTGTAAGACCAGGAATAAGAACTGGATTTCTGAATTTGTGTTGTATCAACAGACTGTGCTGTCCTTTTGTAGTTTTATTTGCTTTATCAGGAATCTGATTGGGGTTGTGCCACTTTGTTTACTGAGATTCATCATTATTTAATCTAAAAATAACATTTACCTTGTAAATCTAGAACGATGAGTTCTTGGAAAATATTCCTGGACCATTATCTGTTACTCAGCTGCAATCGTTCCAGTTGTGGATATATTTTACACATCACTCTTATGGTACAGATGAAGCAAAAGGGCTCGGAAAGGTTGAGGAAATTGTCAAAAGTCACGTGACTGGATGATGGCACAGCCAAGCGTAGATTTTGGTCTCCCAACTGCCTATTCAGTGTCCTTTCACTATATCCCACTCTCCTAATCCTTGCTGATTTAAATGATTTAAAGCAGCACTTAAATTTTTTTTAAATAACTCTACCCATACTGCTCACATAAAATCTGGTCTCAGCAGTTTTTGACCTCCTTTAATTTCTTTTTCTTAAAGATATGCAAACATCACACACACACACACACACACACACAAAAGATATGCAGACATCACATCTTTTTTATTGATAAATCAGTCATATGACAACTAATAACTCATGACTCCATTGCATATTGCTTTTTCATCAGTGCACATTTCATCATTCTCAGGCAATTAGATTGACTTCTCAGGCTGTGATGAAAAAGCTTTGGGACTTTTTGCAGAGGGCTGACAGGTCTTGTATGCATTGTTCTATTATGGTCAAGCTCCTACATGGTATCAACATGTATTTGGACAACTTCATTCTTAATTTTGAGGCCACACAGGGGTATTTATCTATATGTACAAATTACATTCACTTAATTGGTGTGGTGGTGGGGTTGGGGGTGGGTGCTATTCATTCCAGAATCATTTGACTGTTTTATAAAATGATTTTCTTTTTGTCTCAATTGTTTGTACTTGTTATATTACATAGGAACTTCAGGTTATTGAAGTTATTTTCTTCCAGCCCTCTTTCCTGTCAAAAATGGAATATTTGTAGTCTTAGTGTACTCATATATTACTCCCTCTAACTGAGGTAAGTTTCTTTCCATTTTACCTTTAGCTAGTTCACTACGATCTACCACCTAGCTAACTGCTCCTCATTCTTGAAGTCTCAGCTCATTTGTTACCTTTTCATAGAAGTCTTTCTTTTCTTTATTTCTTTATATAAGAAGGTCCCTGCCCCCATACCCTGCAGGTTTTATCACTTTACAGTGTTTATTTCTTCATGGCACTTACCACTATATGTAATTTCTTAGTTTGTTTTTTTATTATCCCTCTCTCTACACACTTGATTGTAAGGTCCATGTTTCTATTGTGCAGACAATAGCAAGCCTAATGACTGGTAAATAGTAGAAGCTCAATCAACACATGTTGAGTGAATGATGTCTTTGTGAGTTGGTGTGGAATTTTGTAATTTGTTTAGAGATGTATGAATATGTGTTAAATCTTTGTCTCTTATAAAAACCTCTTTTGGATTATTTCCTTCATTGATGGACACTGACATTGACAAAGGGTTGTCTACTACTCAGTTACCTTGATTTCAAACCTATTAAATGGACCAGGACTCCTAGAGCATTTGGACCATGATACCTTATCTTGTGTGTACCTGGGCTTTCTAGAACATTCAAGACCACAATGTACTATCTTCTTGAGCTTGTATTCTGTGGTAGCCTCTGGTCACAAGTGGTTATTGAGCACTGGAAATGTGACTAGTGTGAAATGCCATGTGTTGTGGGTGTAAAATATACACTGGATTTTGAATATTTAGTATAAAAATGTAAAATACCTCACTAATGATTGTTATATTATTTACTTATTGAAATATTATTTTGGACATATTGGGCTAATTAAAATATATTATTAAAATTAATTTTACTTTTTAAATGTGCTACTGGAACATTTAAGATTATATATATGAATCACATTTGTGGCTCACATTATATTTCTATTTTTGGCAGTGCTGTTCTAGACCCAACTAGTCTACCTCAGTTATTGGCAGTATAGACTGAAGGTGAACCACTGAAGGAAATGCTAAAATTGCAAAAGCCTCTCATAGTGTGCTCTTTTCTTGATAGATGTTAGCTAGGGAAGGTCTGGCACCTCTGGAGAGTGGCTTAGGTACCATTCAGTACTCCTTCAGTGTTAAGTCATAAAGGCCAGATAAAATTTGTGTCCTAAGACACAGTAACTTTAAATGTCTTGCCAGTGATCATAAATCTTGTTTAGAAGAATGTTGGTACCAGAACCCAAATCTTTTAATTATGCCCAGTCATTTAATTACTTATAGAGGGACCTACTAATAAAATTATATCCTCTTTTTTTAAATGCCATACTGGACAATTTTAAAGAACTGTTAATAAATTGTGTATTTTTTCTAAGAATATCAATTAATGAGGAAATTACATTTCAGTCCTTAGCTGGTTATATAGATTGAAAATCATATTGTATACTCTGATAAATTAAACAAATGGAAACTCCTTCTGTTATTACTGCCATATATGCTATGGTAGAGCATTAAACTGGGATGACATTTATTTAGCAAAGGAGTACACACTGCAAAGCAAAATTCAAACAAAAAGCCGGATATGAACATTAAATCTACTTTTAAATAAGTATAAATCTAGTAACCATTCTTTGCATAAGTATAAAAATTCACTTGAAGACCATATGCTGTAGTTTGGAAAACTCATTACTATGTTTCATTCCAAAAGTCCTTGTCACTGGCATATCGGGCAGACTTTTCTTCTTAGGTAAGGATATGAATTTTTAAATAATTAGCTTTATCATCATGATCTTCTGGTTCATTCATTAATTTAGCAAATATTTAGTGAGAACCTACTATGTACCAGGCAGTTCTGTTTGTTCTAGGTGCTCAAGATACTAAAGTGACCAATACAAACAACCATTTCCTCTTTGGAACTTACATTTCAGTGCTCAGGTATTTTCTCAACAGGGAGAATGGAATGAAATGATAAAGTAAATCTAAGCAGTGCTATCTCAAAATGCCACCAGTGACATTTTTGTTGGTTGGGAACTGAAATGAATTTGGGATTCTTTGTATCTTTCTTGGGGAATTTGAAAACAAAGGTGCCTATGGAAAGTGGAGATGCATAAAACACTACATATCCAGTAGTAATTAGTATTTTCAGAATATCAGAAGACCTCCTTAAAGTTTCAAGTAAAACAATTAGACTCTGTTAAAGGATTTCCCAATAATGAGTGGGGGGGGAGGACTTGGCATATTATTCAGCTTATTATTATTATACATATTATTCTGTATCTCTTCTTTCTTCTGCTGGGATATCCCAACCTATAGGTAACTGGATATCTTAGTTCTTACACCCATTAATTCTAGAAACTCCCAGTCAGAATGACTTCCCTCCTCACTCAGCACAGACTCACTCATTCTCATTCTCTCACATCTGAGTCCTACCCTTAGTACATGTCTCTCCCTTCACATATTCACTTCCATACACTTTCACAGGTTCCCCCCCAACCTGGTCCCCTTTCAGGCAGAGGTTCCTTAAATACATTTTTTTTTTCTTGAAGCTCAGCCGGTAGATGTCTCCATTACTCCCTCATAACTAAGACCTCGGCAAGTTGGTTTTAATCATTTCTTTAACCTACAATAAGGAGGAGGATTTGATGATTTGCCCCAAATGAGCAGATGCTCGGGAGGACACGTCTCCATCCTACGTCCCTCCCCTTCGATTTAAGTCAGAAATGAAAACTCCTTTCTCCCTCTTTTCCAGGCAAAAGAAAAGGCTGATTTAACTAAGCATGCAAGACGCCAACACCCTCCTCTTCAGTACGTCCAAGTTTCCTTCTCTCTGAGCCACAAACGCGCTGCTTCTCCCTTCACTCCCGCCCACCCCTCCCCCACCCCCTCAGGTTTCCGAGTCGTCAGGGAACGCGAGTGGGTGAAAGAACTCCGCGCTGCTGCATCCCGAGCCACCGCCTCCTCCTGCGCCTCCTCCGTGCCGCCTCGGGTTCAGCACTGGACAGCTCCCGCCCCAGCCCAACAAATGGCAGTCGGCTGATTGACAGAGGAGCCGACCAAACAGAGAACAAGACGGCTTGGGGCCGCCCCTCAAGGGTTTGGTTGCGGCCAAGCTGCCTCTTTAAACCGGCTTTCCTCCAGAGCAGGGGGAGACAGGAGTGTGGCTTGTGGCCAGACCTGAGGGCTCCAATTAACCAGTTGCCTGGTCCTATAAACTCCAGAGAGACAAACGTCTTAAAAGAAATCTTCGCTTTCCTGGACTCCGTCCTGCGCTCGCGGTGCGGATCTGTGTGCGCGCACTCCGCGCCTCCGGGCGAAGCGAACGAGGAGGAGCCAGTGCCGGGAGGCGGGAACGACCTGCCACGGGTGAGATGATGGAGCCGCGTCTTTGGCGGCCGCGGCGGCAGCAGCAGCAGCAGCTCTTGAACACACCTCAATGAGAGCGACGGTGGAAGCTGCTGAGCAGAAAGACGTAAGCAGGCTAACTATAGCCGCCGGGAGCGAGAGGGGATGTGACCTGTTCGGCTGAAGGCTGTGAGGTGCGTAATCCCGAGCCGACCCATTATGGAACGGGTGCAGCCGGCGTTGCCACAGGTGATTTGATTTCCTGTGACGGTAGCTTAACCAGCCGGGCCGATTCCGAAACACTCTTATTTTAAAGTCCTTTTCGACTGGGTGCCGTCTGGAGAAGGGAGCCGACTCCTAGTAAAAGTCTTACTGTTGATAAACTGACGACCAAATTTTTAAAAAGTGTCTCCCGTTACCTCCTTTCGTCTCTGCGAAGCAGATGGGAGCCATGGCTTATCCCTTACTCTTCTGCCTCCTGCTCGCTCATCTGGGATTGGGAACTGTTAGCACCAGCCGCGACCCTCCGGGACGGCTGGATTCCCCTCGAGAGAGAACCCTGAGGCTGAAGCAGCACGCCCAGCAGCCGGCTCGAGCCTCTGCCTCGGACCCCTCGGCTCCCTGGAGCCGCTCCACCGACGGCACCATCTTGGCGCAGAAACTCGCCGAGGAGGTGCCCATGGACGTGGCCTCTTACCTCTACACCGGGGACTCCCACCAGCTGAAGCGAGCCAACTGCTCCGGCCGCTACGAGTTGGCGGGCCTGCCGGGGAAGTCGTCAGCCCTAGCCAGCTCCCATCCCTCCTTGCACGGGGCGCTGGACACGCTGACACACGCCACTAACTTCCTCAACATGATGCTGCAGAGCAATAAGTCGAGGGAGCAGAACTTGCAGGACGACCTGGAGTGGTACCAGGCACTGGTGCGGAGTCTCCTGGAGGGCGAGCCCAGCATTTCCCGGGCAGCCATCACCTTCAGCACCGAGTCGCTGTCCGCGCCGGCCCCGCAGGTTTTCCTCCAGGCCACCCGCGAAGAGAGCCGCATCCTGCTCCAGGACCTGTCCTCCTCGGCACACCACCTGGCCAACGCCACGCTGGAGACCGAGTGGTTCCACGGTCTGCGGCGCAAGTGGAGGACCCACTTACACCGCCGCGGCTCCAATCAGGGGCCCCGGAGCCTGGGCCATAGCTGGCGGCGCAGGGACGGGCTTGGCGGGGACAAGAGCCACGTCAAGTGGTCTCCGCCTTATCTGGAGTGCGAGAACGGGAGTTACAAGCCTGGGTGGCTGGTCACTCTGTCCGCTGCTTTCTACGGGTTGCAGCCTAACCTGGTCCCGGAATTCAGGTAGGGAGTGGAAAAAAGGCTAAAGCAAAACCTTCCTTCTGGTTTCGCCTCGGGGAAGGAACACTTGGCTGTGACACTTAATGCCTCCCACCCTCAAAGCAGAGACCCAGGCTGAGGGACACCTTTCGCCGCGCCTGTGCTTAGGGACAAGAAGCGCCCTACCTTTGTCAGCTCAGTGAAAGCTTCTCTCAGATCAGTTTCCCTGCAAGGGGCAAGGGACTAGGGAGCATTTGGCAGAGTTGAGAGAAATATCTGATGCCCTACGCTTCTTTTAAACCCTCAGGAGATCAGGGAGGGGAGTTCCCAGTCTGGGGGTGATTCGAGGGAAGCTGGAGAGCTTGGGTGTGCCTGCCAGGCATGGAGTGGCCAGCACTGGATGAGAGAAAAGGGAGCAAGAAGAAGACAGAGTTCCTCGTTTCTGCCACTTAGGGATAGCCTCTGCCTGCTTCCTATGTGTGTAGTTCGGGGCACCAGTCTGCTGTTAGTCACCAGAGGGGGTATGATTAACACAGTACATCCCCTCTGCAGTTCTATCCCCTCAGCAGTGAGTCAGTCTCAGCAGTATAGCTGTTTCCAGGATCCAGACTTTGCAGTTTGGTCAGTGTGCTCCTCCTCCTTCCCATCTCCCTCTTCCCCCCAGTCTCCTTTCCTTCCCCTCTTCCTCCTGTTCTCTGTGTCAGGCATACCTGAGGGTTCTCCAGTCCTTCACCTACTCACACACTTTATAAATGAACCTGACTGAGTTATCTTAGGAAGGACGGCATTAGTTCTGACTGAATTCACTCGGGGAGCTTGTTGGAAATTTAATCACAGTTCTTCTGTATTTCTTGTCTAAAAGTACAGCATTTGTGGGGAGATGAAGAATTTGCAAATTAGCTGGGGCAACTTCTGTCCTGGGAAATGCCTGAACTTTTTGGTGAGGAATGTCTAAGAAATAGCACTTTAGAATGGATGTGAGGAAGGAACGCAAAGGGAAGAGTAGAAACTCCGAAGACAGCCTGGGAGAGGGCCACAGATTGACCGGGATCCTCCTCAGTTTCCATGATGGGAGGCTCTGGCAAGAAGGTCTTGGTGGTTGAGGTTGCTTCTGTACTGTTTGGGAACTTAGACAAAAGTGAGAAACCTGAGGGTGTGTGTGTGCACCTTAATGCTCTGTTTGGCACAAAAGGGACAGTGTGCTGAGCTGGTGAAAGATACCAGGCTGAGTACTGTTGCTGGGTGGGCAAAAGGGGAAATCAGAAAGCTTGTCTTGGCACTGTCATTTACAGCTGGATGTCCCCCAGTAAGTTGTTTAACCTCTCTGGGCCTCAGCTACTTATCTACCAAGTGAGGGAGTTGAACTAGATGGTCTCCAGGGAGCCATCTAGCTATAAAATTTTGTAGCTTTTAATGCCAGCAACACGTGAGAAGGCATATACAAAAAGCAAAACAAAAAACCCACTTTCTCTGATTCTGTATGACTGTATTAAATGTGCGTGTGTGTGCATGTGCACATGTCTGCATGTGTTTCTAGCTCTTTTAAAGACCTTGTCTTAAACCAGGGTAACTCTTCCCTGCTTTCAGGATAATCTCATTTCCTCCTGATTTCTGCAGGATCCTATTAGTAAGAGCTGAGCCGAGCTTTGAGTCTTTGCCATATTGTTTGCTGAGAAGCGGAAAGATCAGCAGATGCCATTCACTGCCAGCAAATTGTTTGCGGCCTTCGGATAAGTGTTTTTAGGGAGACCCAGTTCCCAGGATTAATCTGTCATCTGTTATCTGTCTGTCTGTGTATCTATCTGTCATCTATCTATGTATCTATAATCTATAACATTTACTTTCTGTCAGATTCTGCAACTGCTTTGCATGCATTATCTTACTTAATTGTCACAACTCTATGAGTTAGGTTTTATTAGTTTCCCTATTTTACAGAAAAGGAACCTGAAGCAGGGAGAGGTTAAGCTTTTTTTCCTGAGATCCCACAGCAGGTAAGTAGTAGAGCCAGGATTTGAGCCCATTGCATACTTTTAACCACTATGCTGAACTCTATTTTATGAAGGTGTCCTAAGAATGCTGCATATAGTAGTATAGCTGCTGCTTAAAAATACATGTATTTTTAAGGGTCAGATGCGGGATCAAGGAGGAGAACCATTCATTTTCAGAATAATTTATCTTAAGAAAATCTAAGAAAGCATGAGTCACCTAAATAAACTCAGTGCCTTCTGCCAGCCAGGATGAAAGGCCAAGGACACAAAGGGTCTGAGGTTGTGAGGGCTTAAACGCCCCCTACCTACTTTTTGGGCTACATTCAGAAAGTGGTTTGTTTCCTCTGGCTGAGTTCCTTTAAGTGCTTTCATAGTCATCAATGGTGTTCTTTAGCCAAGGCATGAAGCCAGGCCATTTAGTACTTGGCTCTCTGAAAAGCTGGTTCGTCCTCGCAGTATGTATGGAGAGCAGAGTAAGTGCCCTCCTGTGAGTGCTTTGCCCCATGTCTCGTGCCCCTCAAATGCTGTACTGAAGATTTGTACAGATGTTAATTATAGGAACTGGAAAAAATCTTAGAGATCAGATGGTTCCTCCTGTTGTTTCATAGGTAAAGAGACAGAACTAAAAAGGTGAAGTGACCTGTCCAAATCACAAATCAATTTTATAGTAATGACAAAAGCAGGATCTAGGCCTTCTATCTCTGGTTCACACTATGCTTGATACATATAGACCTAAATCATATTTCTGTGGCTCTCTTAACCTTTGCATACAGTGCATGCTGGGGAACAGAGTTTACTCTTCATCACATTTTAGGACAAAAAAAGAATCAGCTCATAGAACACAGCTGTTGAATTAAAAAATACTATATTGTTTATTTCACACATTTGAGATAATATTTAAATGGGTCTTTCCTGTCTCTTCCTACTCACATAAGGCAAAGGTTTTTAGTTGTTGTTGTTGGTGGTGGTGGTGGTGGTGGTGTTTTATGATCTAACATGTACATTCTAAAATTCTATAATATAGGTGAATAATACTGTACAGGCATGGTACAGGGCGGTGGTGGTGGTGGTGGTGTTTTATGATCTAACATGTACATTCTAAAATTCTATAATATAGGTGAATAATACTGTACAGGCATGGTACAGGGCAAACCTCTAATGAATTTTTGAGAAACTGTGATTAACAGCTCTACATATGGGGGCGCCTGGGTGGCTCAGTCGTTAAGCGTCTGCCTTCGGCTCAGGTCATGATCCCAGGGTCCTGGGATCGAGCCCCGCATCGGGCTTCCTGCTCA